ATTTTGTTTTAAGAAGCAGTACACTCGACATCAACACTTACATGTAAACAGTGCTACAACTAACTTATGCCACAATATGCCTTAGGCGTAGTGGCCAATATTTAAATTCAGTGACAATGAATGCAAAAATGTTCACTCATGCGCATCCCAGCAAAACAAAGGCACTGCCCTCTTAAGATGGCTGCTAGGCACAAGGCCTACCGGTATGAACAAGGCAGAGTCACTTTAGGTAATATTTTTATAACTTTAGGGAAATGGTTTTGTATTGCTTGGAGTAAACCTTTTATGTATTCATTGTTACTGAATCAAAATAACAAAGAGTACACCCCTAATGCACAACGTCTATCACACTGCTAAATAGTTTCACATTGTTTCTACAATACAATGGGTCTAACTATTTGACAGTGATGTTAAGGTTTAAATAACCCTTGATTACTGCAATCAGGGAATTGCATGTGTACATTTGTGCACAGTTGCACGACTGTCTTTCATCTGGTGTAGTGTATGAACAAAGGTACAATGTATATACAATGTATACATGTACACCTGTAATGGGGTGAGGGGGATTAATACCTGATGAATATTCATTTATTCATTTGAACCTGAAGTAAACCGCGCCGCAAAGATGTATGCGCATCATGTCTGGGACTCTGGGGGACATCGGACTCAACGAGGACGTTCCCATCTGCACAGATGGTGCTTCACGACGCACCACCGTCTAATATATGCATAGGCCCTTAAAAAAGCCCGGGAACCAGCCAAGGATTATAAATATGCGAGGCCATCTGCTTGGGGGCTAAGGGGACCGGTGATGATGACTACCGGCGGCGGCACATGTGCAAGAGGGTTTACCACTTAATGCTCGGCCGAGCGTTGAAATTACAACATGGAAAAAATTAACACTTAAAAAATGAAAATTGCTCTGCTGTAAATGTATGTGAGGGAGTAATTTCACCGAGTAGAAGAATTACAATACATACATGTAGGCATGCTTTTTGGTAGGCATTTCCTTCAAAAATTAAAATATAAAAAACCCCGAGTTATATACATTCTAAAATATATTTAGAAGTAATTATAAATTCACTAAGCATGCGAGTGTGTAGGGTATCTCAGGTTTTGGAGAATTTTTAACACAGCTTCATTAACATGTAAGCAATGAATTGAGAGGCCATTCATGCATTTTTTATGCTAATAGATAACAGTCCACAATGTTTACAATGTTCGTTCGTGAATGGATATTCAACTTCAAGGTTGCACGAATTACATACACGTGTGTAATACAATCATTTATGTGTACACTTACTGGTACAATATACTGCAACAGCATTACATGTAATTTGGATATGTACACGTATGGATAACATGTGCTTTTCAGTTTTTATGAGCATTATGTACAAAACAATGATACAAATGTACAAAAGAAATATGAACTGCATGTTTGATGTGGGGAAAAATCTATGCATATTAATGCAGTGCACAAATAGCATACGCTAAGTCGCTGCAATATTTCTGATTCCAAAAAGGTATCTAAATATTTCTTATGCACTTTGTAAGTACAGTAACATCATGAGGAAGTATACATTTTGTATCTTTATCTAAATTCATTTTTGAACATAAATTCAAGATATTAATGTCATTATTTTGTTTTGTTTTCAATTAGTTCTTGATTATTTTTGATTTAAATACTTGTTCTGCAATTGTTTACTTTCCTTTCATTGTCACCAATATGGAAATAAATGTCAAATTGAATTGAATTGATATTGATGTTCACTGTTTTGTCTCAAAGCCACAATTTGAATAAAGAGAAAAGAATTCCACGGGAACAATGGCTATTTTCAATTAACAACAGGGAATTTCATTGTTCCAAACACATAAAAACATTTGCATGAATGCGGTACGTACAATAATTTTTGCAGTGATGCAATCTCCCACAACACGAAACTCAAAACATTCCGTGCCACCATAGCGTCCGTATTTCTATAAAACGGTGAATTATGGACAGTAATTACATTTTGTAAGTCACAAGAAGAGAAAACTGATTACTGAAAATTACATACATGTAGCTGAATTTCTTTCATCCTTAAAAAAAAAAGACTACAGAATAATATAAAACAAACTTTTTTACCACTGGACCAAAATTAAACCCAAGCTGATGATTCATTTCCTCATTAGTACGAAATTGGGCAAAATAAAGAACCCTAAAGTCACATCCTGTTACCAAATGTTGAAAGGAATATTAAAGAAAAACCTAGAACATCTGTGAACTGCATCCTGCACGGTGAACGGATGCTGGTGGCGTTTCCATAGCCTCTCCCTAGTTGGACAACAGAGGGCAGCATTGCAGTTATGTGACTCGGAGAGATTTTCTCCTGGACTTGAGTTATGGATGTTTTTAAGCTGGATTTTAGTGGTAATCCAATGAGAACTATTTTTAGAAAGCGCAGTTTTAAAATAGATGATATGGATGGATGAATTTTATGGAATGGATAAATATTATGGAATATGAAGCTGGTAGTGGAAAATGTGTTCTGCCGATGTTCAATAATGTGTCTGGCTTAATTGTCTCGGTTATAAACACACCTTAAATGCTATTTACAGAAATTTATTTGATAAAGACACCTTTTTGAAAAGATAAGAGACAGTCTTGGTGTTAGTATTTCAATCTTCATAGCATGACCCTAACCCCCCAGTAGTTCCCAAGGACTACCCTGCTAAATCCAACAGAGTCAGACGGTTAATACTCTTATGAGTTTCCTGCTCAATCCAACACAGTCCCACACAATCCAACTTGCCAAGTTGTTGGGTGCCTGAACACATGAAATGACTGGCATGCTCACTCCAACAGAATCCAACTGTGCCTTGTATTTTTCTGTTTGCTGCTGGATCCAACAGAGTCCAACTTGGCGTTATTTACCAGTACCCAACAGAATCCGACTGTTAATGTTTTCAGTTGCCTGCTGAATCCAACAGATTTCAACAGGATACAAGAGATTTACTGTTCAATTCAACAGGACCCAGTGGGTATGTCAAATAGTCGGATCCTGTTGGATTGAGCTGGGTTAGGGATAACGTTTTCAAATTAAAAGGGATTGACAAAGACTAGCAACAAAATGCTCTGTGTAATTCTCGGTATTTGCCCCCCCCCCCCCACCAAAAAACAAAACAAAAACAAAAACAAGGTTTAAAACAGTCTGAATCTATTAATTCATCAGAGCAATGTTCATTTTGAACACTAAAGAGTCCACTGTGATGAAGACATGCATCGTCTTCTCCACTTCTCCTCCTCGTGGGATTATACTTTAATCAACAATAGAGGGCGCTCTCCATGTTTCGAAACACTCTGAAGCTTACCTGAGAATATTCAGAGGCCGATATCACTGAGACGATCCACATCGGCCTTTAGAAGCCTACGGCGCAAAGATCCTCGCTGTTATCACCCACAAGGGTCGTATTCTTAAAGACAGGTTGTTAAAACCTGACGGCCTTTCATACCGTACTTCACACAAACGCAAAGCTGAGTAGTCGTCACGAAACATTCGCAGCGACATTCGCCAGAATAGACATGCGTGGAAACTGATTGTGGGACAGTTGTGGTCGTCCCTTTTTTTTATGGCTGGCTGTATGATATACCCACGCACATGAACATACTCAATTATGGAATTCACACAACCAAAACAACATACTCACAAATCATAAATAACAACAAATCTCAGGGACATTGGCAAACTCAGAAACTTACTTCATGTACACCTCTCAGATCAGATCATATCATTCTCCGAAAAACAAAACAAACTAAACTACTCAGAATAATGACTTCCACATTCTCCTCACCATGCACACCATGTATGTACTCATAAAAGAAAATCATTACATTTACATGGTAATATCTCAGGAATTCCACATTTTCGAAAGGATTTTTATTTTAATCCCGAAATCCCGAAATCCCAATTAAATCTCGCCCCTGCTCTAGTAAGACACCAGAAACCCACCAGTGCCATGTAGCCGGTAATCACACCCAACGATCAGAAAATGGAAATCTGGAATCACTCAGACAGGATACCGCTTTTTAACGACCAAGCTCTTAAAAAAATGTTCGTGATGATTTTCATGACCCCGAACAAGCTTGACACAGCATATTATCTCTTCCCCTTAGAGACGTTCATAAAGATTTGGAAGCCACTGACAAAACGCCCATTTCAGATTGGGTCTTAGTTTGAGATATATACTGCTTTACAGTCAATTGCAAAACTAAACAAAGTTGGGCAGGAATTATAGCCTCAAAAAGATGAAATGATGAACTCAATAAATGATTACTTTTAGACTTCAAACAAAGTTAATTTTACAATGTAAGTCCACTTGAGATTTCCGCTGTTCGGCCGCCATATTTGTCCGTTTCTTGGAATGAACAAGCATGCGTGTGACGTATTTCCACCACTGACTCTGCTCCATGAGCAGGGTCTTTGGTGGCTGACCCAGGTGAGCCCCGAGAATGACGTCAGAGCTAATCGAACGGCACGGGGCTGACCCGTGTCGACCCGGTTGAGCTAAACGAATGCACCCTTAATTCTGATTGTGCCCAAAGCTATAGCATCTTTGCGTGAGCGTCAGGCGTCATCGGCAATAGTGAATTCGAATGTCTCTCCCAGTGGTCTCCTCCAACTCTCCCTTTCTTACCGTTGAGGGGGTACTAGTGCACTGAGCCCATTACTGACATGGATAGGCGGTCAGGGTGCAGTGAGTACCACCACACGTCTGCCATAGAAGTTTACCCATCTGTACGGGCAGCACACGGCACCAGACTAAAAACATGTACGTAACGCAGCACACAACACGATGCTGGGCAAACTAAAATGGCCGTGTGGCAGCGTCAGACCAAATTGGCCAAGCAAGGTGCGAGTGGCGATCGCGACCTATCAATGTTGGTAACAGATCTCAATAGTGTATGCAACGGTTCATGCGAGTCGGCCAAACAGCGCCACCAACACTTCCGACAGAGCCAATCTTCCCATTCTTATCTTCTGTTATTCCATCGTTACACTTCTCAACATCTCTCATCACGTCTCACGCTTTCTTATCACAGCAGTACCACAGACCACATCTGACTTGCATCACTCTCAAGAAACGTAGAAGGGACTTACCATTGATGGGCATCGAAGTGGAAATACACCATGCCCAGGCCGTATAAAAATGTTGCATCCTGTCATAAGGCGAACAAAATATGTTTTATTTTTCTTAAAATTCAAACTTTGAGGATAAGATATATTCTTGCTTGTGAACATTTCATATATGTATGCATTTTAAGTTGGACAATAACAGGACCTGCAATTATTTCTGTACCGATTTTATAAAAGAAAACATGTTATTTCCAAACTGTTTTTTAATAGTAACATCAAATATCTTTAATAAGGGGATAATAGTGAGCTGGAACAGTTCTTAAAGTGTAGCTTAAACCGGCTTGCAGTCTGGTCAATGATGCTGGCCTTAGCCGAAGGCGAGGGCTATTTTCGACGAGCATACCACTAGCCGGTTTTAAACATCACGCTTGAAGCTGTTATCAGTACACTATTATCCCCATTCATAAATACCTTTTTTGTAAAAAAAAAATTTAAATAAATAAAATGTCAAGAATTGACCAGTTTTCAACGATTTTGTTCAACTATTTTACTTCATGTTATGTGCAGCACCCCTCCAGCTGTGTCTACAGTATGCGCCTCGCGCGCAGAGCCAAACATCTCCTTATATGGAGATTGGAGCGCGCGCGATGCATACTGCGCGATGTGATGCAGAACGCAGTGGCTCTCAGCAGTGTTTTACTGGTGGTTTAAACCCACCCACGTGATGGGCTCTCGACCAATAGGAACAGGTTAACTGTCCGAGGTATTTATGAATCTTGAATGATAAAAAAGTTGGAAATCTAGTGACTTATTATCCAGATTTTGTTTTGTTGACAAGCAAAATCCAATAATAAACATAAAGAAAAATGCACTCTTTTAACTTTTTCTTTTGTGGGGGAGGGGTGAACATTGATCATGATGTGATTTCCAAATTTTTTGATGAAAAAAAAAAAAAAAAAACACCCCAAAATGAAACGACTCCAACCTTCCAATAGTCATCTTGAAGAGAGAAGAACTTCTGATATGCTGACAAGGCTGGAAAAGAAAAGGAAGTTGAAATTGATTAATAAAATGAGCTGAGGACGATTGCAACTTGTACTGTAAAATCCAATACAAAATTAAAAACACTTTCTCTTCCAAAGCACTGATCTGTTTAGCTAAAGCTCCACACTCATTGTTCAAGCTTGACGAAAAGGAGTTCTTTTCTTAACCCCTTCAAAAAACATTTTCTTTTTTAAAGCAAAATAGAAGTCCATGAATAACAAACAATTTAGTAATTCTTTTGCAAAAACTACTGCTGGTTAACAAAATTTACAACATTTTTCAAAATTTAAAACTACAAACTGTATGCATAAGTACACATTTTATTTTCACCATAAAAGTCTTGTTAATTGGTTGAACAAGACAACGTTTATACTGAGTGATCGTTTTTTTTTAAGGAAGACAGAACAAAATGCCTCAGGAGATTTGAGAGCAGACCTAAATGGGAACATGACTGGCTTCAAGCAGCCACCCACAAACCTCCACGGCCCCAGTACAGGAACAGCAATCACCAAATAGGCCAAGGGAGGAGAGTAGAGGGGGGATGGGATATTTTTTCCCTGTGATATTAGGCTAATCAAAAGATGGCTGGAGGCTACGCAAGGCAGGAGAGAAAACGGAGGCAACAGCTGCAGATGATGGATTGCAGCTCGCAGACAGGTAGGAGAAGGAAACGGTGGGTTCAGGGGATACAGTCTAGGCACGCCGCTGGCCCTATAAGACCACACTTGGACGAAGACAAGCCACCGTTTTCTAAAAATGGGTCACTCTATAAATTCGGGTCCACTTTGTTTTCCTGACCCTATTACATCCGACACATATCTGATTTTATAATTCTAATGCACTTTTTAACCCTATCCCTAGCATGATTTACTAGGAACCAAAACCATCCTGGCAAACTCCAACACCATATGGAAAACAAATTATTTTTGACTTTGATTCTGGAGGTGTGCCAACCCAATGTAAAAGACTGTTAGTTTAGGGGTACTGTACCCATCCTGACAGATTCCAACAAAACACGCTGTTGGGGTTTGATGGATTGAGTTCTGTTATCCCCCGGTGTGAATATGAATGGCAAACTACATTTGTACCTTCCCAACAAATACAAAAATTGTTTGAAGTCATTCTTATTGATACTTGAATAGCAAATCACGAAGTACTTGAATGGCAAATCATGTACATATCAAGGTAATAAGGACGGGAAATATTTACACTTTGGACCCTTAAATTATAGAATGACCCAGTTACAAAAAGGCTGAATGTTCAGTCAATCTTTCTGCATTTGTCAAGCCTACCATTGATGTAAACTAAAAAAAAAATAAAAAAAAAAAAACAGCTGCTCAGATGTCAGAAATATACAGCTTTGTTCTGTTTTAAAGAGAATATACATCATTTGATTTTGCTGTAATTTTCAGAAATGAACTTTTTGAGGGGTTAGTATAATAGATCAAATATTGTTACACTGACATGTTTGAAGTTTTGTGTTCGAAAATGCTGGAAAACCAAGAAAAACAAAACTGTTCAAGTAGTCTGGTTCCCTGACTCCAACGAATATCAAATGGATCAATTTACAGATGCCGGAAAATTGCAGGGTAAGGGTACCAGTCTAGCTGGCCTGCACCCGTTCATGAACATGTAACCAATAGCAAACACAATTTGGACTGAATTAATGGTAAATTTGGAGCAGTAGTTGAAAAATAGTTAGGTTTTTCCAACGGTGGTCGGCCGACCACCGCTGGAAATTTGTACAAAAATACCATTTTCTTGAAAATGACTTCACATCAGGTGCCATAATTTTACAGGATGCTTTAGACTGTCATTTACCAACATCCTATCAAGGTATTTCATAAAAACTTGGTAGTTTTTTTTCTCAATGTTTGCTAATGTTGTAGTTTCCCTTTAACCCTAACTACCCAGACCCTTCAAAATCCAACTGCATGTTTTGTCTGTTGGAGTGAGTACTTGCACTACGTGTGGTTAACTGGTCATGCTTTACATGGGTTAGGCATACCACCATAATCAGAGTCCAACAGTTTGGGTGTTCAGTTACCGTATGGTGTTGGATTTTGCAAGAGTGAGGAAGGTTCCTAGTAAATCACTGAAGGGGTTAGGGTTACGCCACCAAAAAGCTATGCAATTTCTATTCAATTGCATCAATACTTGCTATTTTTTCTTTTAAAAGATGTACATCTGTACATAACAAGAGGTGTGATTTTAAAACTAATTTTTGTTTAACAATTCCATTCAGTGATTAAAGGCTATGGGTGCCCCGAGAATAAGTGGGAAAACAATTATTTTACCCATCCATCAAGTGAATGCAATTTCTCAGCAGTTTAATACTGCGCGTGTCTGAGAAAGCATGTACACATAAATGTGTGTCCTGAGAATAAGCGGGAAAACAATCTTTCTTAGTCCTCCCGCCAGTGCATGGAGTCTAAGGTCAGGCGGATCTTTTTACCTTTGCTGTAGTCTCCAAGCAGCAGCTGCAGGTGGCCTAGACGGCAAAATGTCTGCGGGTCAGTGTTCTTGCCCCGCTTCTTGATCAGCGCCTCACACTGACTGACTCTCTGTGATTAGAAGAAAAAAGGACAACAAAAAAGCGATATCGGTTATCAGTATCTTACTCTCAATAAAGGCCGATTCAAACTTCATGTGAACGCAAATCACATTTTACATCATGAAACATTCGCAGCGAAATACGCCAGAGTTGAACTTTTGTGAATTCGCAGTGCGAACACTTGACGTGACGTCACAAATTTGTTTACGCGTTTGCTTTTCGTGAAAACAAATTTTACGTCACAAAACATTCGCAGCGAAATACTCAAGAGTTGAACTCTTGCCGTGACTTCAAAAATTTGTCTACGTGAGTACGCGTTCCCTTTTTGTGAAATCAAATTTGTGACGACACTGCAAGTACTCGCCGGCCTTAAAACATTTTGATTTTAACATTGAAAAAATACAACCAATTATAGCGCCCATTCACTAAGTCAACATGTATTTCGAGCATGGCCAATCACTGAAAATAATATAATGATCCTCGCATCTCCCTATGGTAACTTAACACTACAACAGCTGCATGCAGATCTCTATGGGGACATTAAAATTTGTGACGTTTGAGTAAATTTACGTGGTATCACGAGCAATTATTTTGACTTAAGTGGGTCATAATTTTTTTCACTTTGTCAAAATTGTGACCTACATACACATGATGTACTTTACACAGGCAGGACAAGCATGCATTTACAGCTGGTCTGTGTGCCCCAGAATAGCTCTTCCTCTGCCCCCGCACAAAATTGGGTCTCATTGGCCATATTGGTGTTTATTGACCGGAACCAGCTTGTTCAGGTCCAAAAAGATTGAGTGCATCACTCTGAAAATTCTTAAGCTGAATTTTTGTTTGTGTTTAATTTCCAAGTTGTTCATGTCTACCTAATGTATGCATGTTTTACATCATACGACAAAAAGTTCTTAATTTAAGATGCATATATCCCATGCTCGTTTTGAGTTTCATCCTGAAAAAATAGATTCCTTTTCTAAATTGCTATTTTCCTAGAAATTATACAAAAATTTTACTTATTGAATTATTACCTTCAAATTACATGCCACCTGATTATTAATTCCTTCTCAATGGGTAGGCTGGCTCCCATCCCGCAAGCATTATTGATATTGTACGGACAGGGACAGGGAACCAGTCAGCTTGTAAGGTGTCTCTTTGCAGCCAAAAGAGAAAACCCTTTTTTTAGAGGGTTGCACATGCCACAAAAATACAAAATAGGAATTTCTTTTGGCTTGGAATAGAACTAGTTGAGCATTTAAGAGAGAGAACAAAACTATCAAATTTTATGAAGAGCACGGGTGATGCAACTTTACGACCGTGTTGTTGTTTTCTCTCTTTTTGGGGGGCCAAGAAACAGTCAAGCAGTGCCTCCATTGTACGTAGCTACAGGGAGAAGGCAAGCATAACATCATTAGGAGGCAATCCTCCTAGTTGTGTACTGGGCCTATAAACAGGCATCACTCCGCAGGTCACGGCATGTGCACTGTGTGGAAAATGGCGCCACCTACTGACAATTGACACACCAAACAAAGACATGAGTGACTGGATTTCTAGCAGGTTTCAGGAATTAGGGGCGAACAGAGAGAAAATTGAGCTACACATAAACGCAAACTCTGGAACAATGAACATGATGAAACAGGAAAAGGTCCTGACAAATTTCAGTAAAGACTTTGTATTTCTCATTATTTACATGTACTAGAAGTGACCATTAATATTATTGAAGTGACGTACACGTAAATGTAGTCTTGTTCTTGTAGTGATTCATTTTTAAGACCAGTAAACAATAACCACTGAAAGGACATCCTTATTACATTTGAATGGAGAGTCTGATATTATTTGCGTAAACAACCCCCTCATGTTGACAACGTCTTACAATACATATGCACATGTACATGTACGTAAGTGCCGAATATCTTTCAGTTTCATAGAGTACATTGTATAAACTTGTACAAAATGACTCTGCAATAACAGATTGTGGCCGTTGATTTAAGGTGTGTATAGCGTGCACATGTATGAATCAATTTCAAGATGGCTGCCCCTATAAACTTAAGAATTTCTCTCCGACATATGCTGACAATGCATGCAAATCAAACGCTGTCAGCTGTTTGACCAATGGTCAGCCATATTTCTCTTCTTTCATGTGGCAAGTAGACCATTAAGAACAGTCCATTGCGACATGATTGTGGCCTTACAGTATGCCATGGGGTCAGTAAAAGGTCAGTGATATTATGTCCAATTCATAGAGAGAAAAAAAAAGATGATCACTCTTCTCACTTTTCTAAAGTTGTAATAATCATTATTTTACAACTTTAACCCTAACCTTCCCAAATCCTCCAATATCCTCTTTACAAAACGGAGGATTTTGCAGGATTGATGGAGGATATTGCAGGATTGACGGTACCTATGTCAAAAATGTGTGGTTGATTTTTGAGGACCCACTGTGTCAAGGTCTCGGGCCGGACCTTGTGTCGTTTATGCTCAGCCGTGCATAAATTTAGGCCTAGATTATGCTTGAAATCCTCCGCACTGCTCCAGGATGTCACTGGCTCTGCCTCAACATATTGATTGCTGGAGGATTTTGCAGGATTGGGGCAGTGGTCACCCCTCCAGGGACCACATTCGGGAAATAATGGATGGTTTTGGAGGGTTCGGGCTGCTGATGCCTGACGCTCACGCGAAGATGCCACGGCTTGGTGTACATTCAGTCGTGCGTACACTTCGCGCTATACGTGCGCGAACCAGTACGTACATGTACGCACGATGTGTACCGTCCACAGGGCTCTCTTGTTTGTGCACAGATCCCGTAAAAATATTTCTTACCGTAAGACACTTGGATATCATGTTATTGACACATACACAGGAATAAGAAAGGGGGTTCTAATCCATTCCATACGTCTGCCTGGGTTGGATCTGAACCTAAGCTAGAGCAGTGAAGGTCAGGAAAGTACCACCTTCCTGAACTACATGTACCGGTGTAGCGTGAATATCCAACTCCATGAAATGTGGACTCATTGGTAGTACTGCGCACGCGTGAGTACGATTACTATGCTAGTTTTAGGGTCGTTTCGGGAGAGTGACCTGTCACGTGCGAGGGATTAACCAATAATAGGGAAATGGGGGTCCGATTTTCATAGGAGTCGGATTTTCATGTGACACCGGTACATGTACTGTGAAAAAGGTTACACAATCGTACATGTACAGTACCTCATTTGTGAATGGTTATGAGTTAAGTTACATGTGCTAGAATGGTTGTTTTCCCACGGTACAAAAGAATAGCACATTCTTGTACTTAAAAACTGGCAAATCAAGCACTATCATGAGTTACAGTACATGTAGGTCGGCTGAGTACACCCATAATGTACATGTACATGTATGTAAACTTGACCCAGTAACACTTATCGCTAAGAGAATGGGTTTGCCCGGGTGTTTCTGGCAGAGCGTTATCTGTAACCATATGAAGGCAGCACTTGCAAGGAAGGAGACTATGTTACATCCCGACTATAGCAATGGATCAACTTGGGACAGTCCCAACTATATTTTGGATCATCCAATCTTTAGTTGGGATCACAACTATAGCTGGGATGATCCCAACTAATTTGGGATGATTCCACATGGGATCGTCCCAACTACACTTGGGATCGTCCCAACTACACTTGGGATCGTCCCAATCATAGTTGGGATGATGCACTAGTTGGGAAATGTGTAGCAACTGCAACAAAATTTTACAAAACCACACTGGATTGTTGGTTTATTGGGGGCAGTAAGGGTCAAAGTGGTACATTTGTTCTGTTGTAAAGCTGTCTTTTTGATGTTTGTAAATCACAATTTTCACAATGGTTGACAGTGTTTAACCTCTGTTTTTGGCAAAGAAACAATACATATGTAGGCCTATACATGTGTGTATGCTGCGATCAACATGTATTAAAAAAATACTGATGCCTTAAACTTAACCAATTCAAGAATGATAATGAATCAAATACATTTATAACATGAATGGCCTTGACCTAAGCAGATGTATCATTTTTTTTCTACACTTAAACTGACTGCGTCTGGTTCCCTGTGGTAAGCACATGTTGGGACTACAAGTGTTTTGATCACTGCCAGGAGTGCCTGCCTATCTGAATCAACCACAGAGGGCAGTGTTTAAACCTTGCATACATGTCATGTATGTGTACTCCAGAATCATACCCCCCCCCCCCAACAACAAAAAAATATGTGCAGACTTGATACCAAAAACTAGAATGCGAAGTTCACACAAAACCATTTTAAAGATAAGCAGCGCATGAGGGAAATTTGGAGATTGCATGACCCCTACTGTTGTTAGATGAAGCATCCCTACTGATGTGACATTATGGATTAGTAACAACCTCTAATTTGCAGTCTTGAACCAATTCTCTATCTTCACCAAATTGAAGGTACATTTTTTTCCCCAGCGATCAGCTATAGTATTGCTGATCGCTGGACAAAAATTAACCACTGTAGCATTACTGGTGCTAGTGTAGTCCGAGTAACTAGGACACTACAAATCGCCTTTGTTAACATTTGGAGATGGAAATGTTAAAAAAGTCAATTCGCAGAGTCCTAGTTACTCGGACTAGTACTAGTGATCAAAGTGAAGACTGTATGACATAACAGACTATACCATTAAATTTGCAAACAGTACAGCGCAATCAAAAAACAAATTTCAAGTACATTTTACTTTTGCAAACCTTTAGTTGAATTTTCCCTACCATGTATCAAATTAAAGCTTTATGCAAAGAGGTTTTGCATTCTTTCTTTCTAAGCAGTTGAACATTGCAAATAAATGTTTCACAGTTAACTTGCACAAGTTTGACAGTTCCCATGTTTTAGTTCCAACTTCTGTCAACACTTTTGTGATTCTACTTTTTTTACCAGGCAACAGAAACTAAGATCACAATAAAAATTAAAAATGGCTTGCTTCATATTTATCTGTTAGTTTGCAGAAATTTCTAGAATAAATTGAAAGCACATTTCCTGATGTGCCCAATATTAAAATTCCATTCAGGCCCATCTTCTGTTTTTGACTGCAATTCATATCAAATATTTTATTGTTAGGAAGGCCTAGGCCTAAATCATATTTTGAAAAAGTAGCAGTAATTTCAAATTAATATTTCTTCATGAAGTTCATTCAGTTAAATTGTATTGCACACAGACATAGGTGAAATGAATGAATTCCCATTGCACTACTGCAGTGCAGTACACTGCACACATGTCCCAAAATGTTTTTGTGAAATTTTTTACTTCCCCAAATTCTCAGCTGATTGAAAATTATTTTTCCAATAAAAAAAATAACTAAACAACAAGAAATTAGCCAAATTTGGCACATTTCCTGTCGAGTGCGAGGACTTTTGCACCGTTTTTCAATACCATGAACAAAGAAAACATCAGCTCTATTCGATTATAATTGGCCGCCATTTTGAATCGTAGTATTTCGCGCAATGCGTGCACGTATGGGCGATGGACCACCCATACGAACTGTACACATCTACACACGTAACACGTTTCAATTTCTGCTCGCAAATCCACCATTCTATCGCTTCTATCTCCAATTTTTCACAATTTAAGATAAATTAGTGTCCCCCTCCGACACTGGGTGAATTCATTTCTCCCCTAAAGGCAAAAATTTTATGTCTATTTTATTGCGATATTTTAGGAAATTTCGGGTCTTGTTGGATGACCCGCGGCTTGGGTGGATGGATAGTCCATTTATTTTCGACTATTTTTCGTGTTCCTACCTTCGTGAGAAGCGCTCTATTTTGCAGCCCTTCGGGTCCTTCCAGCGACAAAAATCCAAAGAGACGGCTGTGGAGAGACATACATTTTGCAAAATTATCGGAATTACAAGCTGTTAAGCCAAAACTTTAAATTTAAAAATGCAAAATTATCAAAACTTTCCGAGGTTAATTTCCATACCTGTCGAACTCGACCAACTCCGACTTCGCTGGGGTCAGAGTCGGTAGCGTAGCTCCGGTCGGCTCCGAGGCCATTTTTCTCGAGATAAAATTCAACCACACCAAGCCCTGACCCCAGATGAGTTCCTAAAGAACCCAGTCATGGTGGAAATCTGGGAAATAATTCTCGGAAAGCTCAAAGTTTTCACCCAACTTGGGCAGGATGGAACATCAAAACACAACTCGAGTTTTGCACGCTGAATATATTGTACATGTTCAGCATGTACGTGTGCAACCAATCATAGCGAGTAAACCGCGTCACGTGGTCTTCGCTACAAAAACTGAGTGATGGTCGGTTCGTATGTATTTGCGTGTAGTAAATGCGGCCGCGGGAGATAACGTTTCAAAAATTCATTTGTTTTTCTGCAACATCACCTTTTCACGAAATTAACGGGATAGAATAAACATTACTATCTAAAAATGTTTCTTTTTCAAAGACATGTTCTGTAGTTGGTCCAGGGCTGAGGCAAAATTAAAGTGGGGCGTAGGGCCTGCCGGTTCGACTGTACAGCCTAGCTTTTGTTTGGCTACATGTCCCGAATCAACGGCGAATCGGGGGGGGGGGGGGGGCATGGGGGGGGGGACGTTCCCTCAGCGGATGTCCGTCCCCCCCCCCGACGGCCCCGCCCCAATTTAAAATCTTGAATTGAACAAAAGATATGTATACAATTTGCCTTCAGTGCCCCCTTGAAAAATGTGTGTGCACCCCCCCCCCCCCCCCAAGTAGTTACACCACTTTTTGAGATATGTGAATGGTTTAATATTGACCAAGGAACATAGCAAAATATTTCATCCAAGAATTTCAAGAGATTGTCATTAAAATTCAAATAATGGAACATTTTCTCAACTAACATCAACACGTTTTTATGTATTTATTTATCATCTATCAATTTGAAAATCGTTTTGTACCTAAGGCCTATGCCATTTTCAACCAGGGGCCTACATCAAGACTAATTAAAAAGAGGAAAATCAAAAATGTTAATTAGTGCATGAATGCTCATCTCTAATGGTGATTGAAAAGAATCGTGTTGCATAAAAATTAAAAAGGCCATATTGTCCTATTCCTACACCGACATGCTTTGTGCAAATTGTGATGAAGACATTTCTAAGCAAAATTGAGGTGATATTTTAGGAATTAACTTCCCATGGTTAAATACTTTTTGCACTTTGATGTGCAAACGAAGTGGACATTAAAATTGCGAAATGCACAACATTAAAAAAAAGAAACTTTCATTAAAATAAATGTCTAAGAGGGACATTATCCTGACGCTGACTATAGAGCAGGCTTGTCGAAACGTTGAGACCAAACTTCTCTCACTCACTGCACCCAAGGGCGGATCCAGGGGGTGGGGGGGGGGGTGGGGGTGGGCAACGAGGGCAATGCCCCTCCGCCCCCCCCCCCCCCCCCAATAAAAACGAACCCAATACTTTTTTTGAAGTGACGTCGCAATACAGGCAGGCACAACGTACACCACCTCTCAGATCGCACCACAGAGCATCTAGAATCCAAACATTTTTTCGGGGCCCTTAAGCAGACCCCAAACCTCTCGCCGTAATTCTTTTTTTGGAACCACTTTTTTTGGGGGGGGGACCAAATGTTTTTGGGTCCCCCCGCCCAAAAAAATGTTCTGGATCCGCCCTTGACTCAGCCTCAGTAAAGATAATTGCGAGAAGTTCCACCGCCTTCCAACCTACTTAGCGAAAATAGATGATACGCAGGATAAGTCCCTTTAAGAGCTAAGCAGGACTGTTCTTACTATAGAACTAAGTGACGTAGTTATTGTGCATGTTGTTACCGCGAACCGAAAATATACATTCTAATTTTGGAGGAGCTTTTGAAATTCCGTCAACAACTCCAGAAGATGCAGCGACCTGAGGCAGGCAGCACAAGACTACGCCGAGCCTCAAGAAGCAAAGGCTAAGAGAGCAGAAGAGAGTTGAGGATAATCATAGTTGTCTTCATGTCTTGAAAGATTGCTTGAGAAAAGACAGTGGGTGTAATGTGTCCCTGATGGATTGTGTTATCACAGGCGGAGGAGTGCTGAGGTTTCCCTGTGCAGCAATATCTGATGCGATTGACAAGATATTCCAGAGAAAGTCCCATAACCTTTCCAATCCCGCGCATGTCTACATTTTCTTTGAGTTTTAGGCGCATGCGTAAATTCATAAAATACAATTAGATCATGAGAACGAATTAAATGTATTGCTTCAAAACCAAACTGATAAAACCACTTGAAAAAATGTAAAATACCGGGGCGGCCGAAACAAAATTGTAATCATGACTCGAATAGTTATTGATTGATACAGGTTTTGCATGCGTTTGTGATTCTATTATTCTTGTCAGATTCGTCGATATTTTGTAACCGTTCGATAAAGAAAACCGACATTTTAACCGAAAGGTATAGAACATGTACACGTGCGCTTGTTGAGGTACGACCAAACATTTACACAATCACATCTCATTTAACTTCATTTCATGATCCGTACAATTTGTTGATGAAGAATCGATTATTTAGCAGTGCAGACCTTTTTAATGTTCCCTGGCGAGCGTTGACCGTTGGTGGCGCCATTTTGTCTGGCTGTAATCGATGGGTGCACCGTACTTTATCACGGACAGGAAATTAATGAAGGAAACTAATTTTCTGTAGAAACCAAGATCCGAATTCAGGATTTCGTTTAGAGCAGTAAAGTTTTGATTATATTACAATGAGTTTCCCTGAATTGTAAATCAGAGGTGGAACGTTTCTAAAAGCGGGAGGGGTGCATGCAATCTTCCGAGCCCCCCCCCCCACCAAAAAAAACACCCCAAGAAATTGTTCACCACCAGAATTTTATGTGGCGTGGTTATCTGTTTTTTATTGATGAAACTTTAAGCTTAGTTTTGGTATCACCATATCACAAAATATAAATTTGGCATTATTCTACGCCGAATGTATGAAATAACGGTACTTTTGTTATGATATGCCTCCCCCCCCAACCCCCCCCCCCCGGAAATTAAAAAATAAATCAGTGGGTCTCATTGTTTATTTTTTAGGGGGGGTATGCAATTAACGTGCAATCCAACTGTAAACCTGAGAGCAGTTTGTTTCGTTTTTGCCTGCCATGAAATTGTGGAGGGCGCTATAATCATCACATGGTCCCGAACAAAGTGATTGTGGGGATTCACCTGTATATTTTTAGACGGGTACTCTGCTTCAGTACGTGTGTAAAGAATACGGCAATGCGTCCAGAAGCCATGTAAAATCTGGTTCCCGGTCTTCTAACAGCACTTATTGAGGGGAAGTATTTCTTGACACCAGTCTTTGTGTTTACAAACATCGTTGACTCGCGTGTACACGTACGGCGTGTGGTAAGTTTTTCGGTTAAGATTTTACCAATTTTCTTAAGCCGCCATAGCATGAAATTTGTCCAGAAATATAGCTAATAGGTCCAATATCGTTTTCGTAAAAAGTGTGGTAGGAATTGTCAAGCAAAAAGAGAAAAATCAGTCAATGAACCACTCATGCAAATTTTTTTGTACGGGCATGACGGGAAATGAATGTTGTTTTGAAATTGAATAGAAATTGAAATGTTGTTTTGAATAATTAACAGTTAGAACTTGTACTTAAAATTGAAGCTTTTTTAAGGTCGAGTAGGAGTCTCATGCGGTTATCATACTTGCACTGGAAAAGAGGGCGGGAAATTTTCCTTTTAAAGGGAAATAAAGTCCGAAATTGTAAAATGGTCTGATTCCCATCTTGTGAATATAAAGTCACAACGGCAATAATGGCGTGGAAGTCCCAGACCAAGATTTGTCACGGGTAAAAATTTCTAAGTCACCAAAAAAATCACTGCGCATGTTCAGTGCCTATCCAGTAAAATATCGTTTTCTAAAAGAAAGCCGGATTCGGCTAAATATCCAATTATTAATAACAAGTGCTACATGTTTACATTCCAGAATAATCATCCTCTCTGTTTTGTTAAGGTTTGAAAACAGCAAAACTATGGCGACAGCAAAGCCAGGACAGAAACGCCCACTTGGTTCGTCTGGCGGTGGCCCCCCAGCTAAGAAGGGGTTTTGGAGTCTGGGTCTGTTAGATTCAATGAAGGACCCTAACTTACAGGTGGAGAAAGATGACAAAGTGGTGGTGATTAAAGATAAATACCCAAAGGTAAGGTCAATTAAAAAAATAATAAACCAGTTTCTCGTACCTGCATTTTCCTTTTTTCCTGCCCAGCTCTTTATTTTCCCTTTTTGATTCATACATTTAATAATATTGGTGCTCAAGGCGCTACATTATTACCCTGCTCATTGGGCCAATGAAATATTTCAAATACCATCTCAGCTCCTTTGGGAGTATACAGCTCGATGCTGCCATTTCGGCCCAAAGCAGCTAAATCAATCACAATAACCATCTCGGCCCTTACAGGTACCCATTTACTCCTGGGTGGAGAGAAGCAATGAGTGGCAAAGTGCCTTGCCCAAGGGCACACACACCCTAACCCAGGCTGGAATCGAACCCACAACCTGCAGAATTACCCGCAGACTTCTAATTCAATGCTCCAGACCACAAGGCCACGGCACTCTAGGAGGTCGAATCCGGAGGTTGTAACTTCAAACCCCGCTCCAGTCAATATCTTTGTTCAACTAAAAATATTCCATCGTGACATTGTCATATAATTTTTTTCTTTCAGGCGCGATATCATTACTTGGTGCTTCCCAAGGAGAACATCTCGAAGTTGAAGGCTCTGCAACCAGACCACTTGGAGCTTCTGAAACACATGCATGAAGTTGGGGAAAGAATTATCAAAGAGTGAGTAACAGACACAATGTGTTTACCTTGCAGTTTTGAAGATTCACTGAATACCAAAGTTAGCCTGAAATTATTGACAGATGTTTAGTGAAGAAAGCACTCCAGATTGTACGTTTGTTCCCGTTCAGATTGACCAAAATGTTCATGATGAACTTGTTTCGGAGATTGTAGAACAAAATCTTTTGAGATTACTTGTGTGTGTGATGTTTTGTTAACTCTCCAAAAATGCTAAGAAAGTCCTTAATTATGTCACAATAATTTATCACCAGTCGTTAAAAAAAAAATCTTTTCTTCTCGCAGGGCTATCGGAGAAGAAGGACTTAGCTACAGACTAGGCTATCATGCAGTGCCAAGCATGAGGTAAGATGGGTGGTGTTCTTGTGACAGATCACAAGTCCATTACAAGTACATCACAAGTCTTGTCACTAGTGTATCTTGAGTCAATCACAATACAAGTAACAGAGGATGAACAATAATATAGGAATGGTTTTGTGACACCTTATTTAATAGCATGTGATTAAACTAGGACTAGATGACTTGTGATGGACTTGTGATGGACTTGTGATGGACTTGTGATGGACTTGCGATGGACTTGCGATGGACTTGCGATGGACTTGTGATGGACTTGTGATGGACTCGTGATGGACTTGTGATTGACTTGTGATGGACTTGTGATGGACTTGTGATGGACTTGTGATGGACTTGTGATGGACTTGCGATGGACTTGTGATGGACTTGTGATGGACTTGTGATGGACTTGTGATTGACTTGTGATGGACTTGTGATATACTTGTTATCCAATTTAAGTACCTGGACTACAACACTGCCCCGTTTTAGATTTGAAGGTGGGGCTCGGATGATTGAAAAAGATTTGTCATGTTTGAGTGTAACATAAGTACAAAATAGTTTTCTATTACCTACCCCAAATCCATCAGAATCCATCTAGAATCGAAACTCTATAGTTTTTTTTCTCACATACCCATTGCCCTATCCGTGGTAGTGACCTCTAATTTCTTTTGAGGTCTCATCAGATAGATCTTATCAAACTGATGACCCAGCATCTTCTCACGAATGCCCATATACACATGCGTGCATTGAGCATGGCTTTGAGGCACCAGTACCGTTAGATAGGTTTAAAATACTTTTAAGATGAGTCGTATGAATTTGTCTCTTTCTAGCCATCTACATCTTCATGCCATCAGTCAAGACTTTGATTCTCCGTCGCTGAAGACCAAGAAACACTGGAACTCCTTCACATCGGCCTACTTTGTGGACTCCAAAGGTAAAGCTGAAGGTGTAATACAGATCGGATTAGACTTTCTGGTTTTTTTCAAGGGGGGGGGGGGGGTGTGGAAATAAAAGTTTTGTGCTAAAAGAGGCACATATTGTGTTATTTTAATTTGACTATTCAGTAAATTTGGTGTTGGAGAGGGTATCGATTCAATTGAAGACATCTGGTCCAATTATAAACTTGGCATGAAGGATTATACACCCCTTAGTCTGGTACCCTTTCAAACTGTGCTGGACCCATCATCTCAACATTTGAATAACGTGGTATATTCCTATCAAAAACAATTTCCAGATTGTCTCCTTCATATAACATCACAGAGAGTCCTGGTTTCATTTTACAGAAGTTATGGATCAGTTGGAGAAGGAAGGGAAAGTGGACACATCAGCTAAGAACCCAGAGGCTCAACTCAAACTGCCCCTCAGGTAGGCATTGTGGGGGAGGGGTGGGGATTAGGAGAGCGGTATTCAAATTGCCCATGTGCACAAGATTTGTATTTTGTTACATGGGCATAGGTTCAGCGGCACTCAATTGACTGGGGCAAGCATGGCAAACATTCAGCTTTTTTTCGTACAATCAAAACAAAGTTGGAAACGTTCGTTCGTGCAAAATTTGGAGTAAAAACGCACTTTGAAACACGGAACCTTTCAAGATTTTTGCAATTGTACACTTTCTTCAGGAAGTACGAGTACGTACTTTTGTGGTCATTCATGATGTGTACATGAATGGCTTTACGATACAGGACAGACACACAAAGGGAGAACAAAAGATCCTTTCAGTCCTCTAGCATTGGGTCTTTTGTTGAAAACGGTCCTTGATCATACGGTTATGTGCTTAGTCTATGGGAGAGTGTTATATTACAGGGACAAAGGGAAACACAAAGCATTGTCCTTGGGTGTATAGAAATTCACGACTGTGTGTTCGTATCTGTGTTACAGGACGAAAATCAGAAAATTTGTTGGTAGAGCACTGCAACGGCAATCCGGAGGTGGCAGGTTCAAACCTAGCTCCAGTCAATTTCTTTGTTCAACTTAAACAAAAAATATTAACCAAACTTTGTTCAACTTTCTTGTTTGTTCCATCAGGTGTCATGTGTGCAAGAAGGAGTTGACTAATATGCCAAAGCTGAAGGAACACATCGTGACCCACATCAAGAAAAGCTGACCTCATCTCGCCAAAGAGACTTGCTTCGAGTTGACACAATCTGTGTCCCAACCAGACACAAAAGAGTCTATTTGCCTCATTGACAGAACTTTGCCTAACTAAAAATAAACACCACAATGAACACATTCTGAAATTTCGTTGTAAAGTATTATTCAACAGTTACAAAAATATTTATTTATAAAAGTACAAGTGCATGCCCAATGATTAATTTACAGTTACAATTTTGAGTACATTATCGTATGAAAATACTTTTATTAAATTTATGTTAAATACATGATTTTTTTTGTACTGTCCTCTGGCATTTACATGTGATAGAAACAAGAAATGAAAGAGTAAATTAAGAAAATACTTGGCAAACTTTAATTTTTGTATTTAGAAAAGTTGGTGCACGTAGGAACCTCTATCAATAGCCTTGGCCGTTGTGAACAAGTGTGATGAAAATCAATGAATGGCCATTGATAACGTGTCGAAGGAGTGGCTAGCCTTTCGCGCCACACAGCGTATGACGTCACTGGGCAAACTTTTTTAATTCACGTGCCTTATTGACTGATCTGATATCCCACTATCATTGGCGTCATATCCGATGTGCCGGAATTTGGTTTCTAAACTCCAATCTGTTTTTGAGTAAATATTTGTCAGACTCAACGCACATATTTATTTTGTGGTGAAGCATGATCTTGTGAAAAAAGGTCAAATCTGTTTTGTGTGGAAAATTTAAGTCATAATTTTTTTTCCTATCTGGGAACTTAAAAAGAATTTGAACATCCTTGCAGCATAAATCTGAGGCGTTCTGGCAAAATAAGACGGACCTGGGCACAGGCCTTTGTGGAGAAAAATTTTAAAACGTCATGGGTTTTTTTTTTCTCAATTTTCTTTTTTTTTCATAATATTGATATTTATGACACATTTTTAAGGAAATGGTATAAAAATTGTGGAAAAAATTGTTTTAAGGAAAAACAATTGGCATCTTTCATTTTCATGACTACATAACTTGACACTTTAAAGGCCTTTTCTCAGTATTTGGCTTTCTTGACATGTGGATTAATGCGAACTTTAAACAGCCATAACTTGTGAACGGAATGTCCGACTGAAGTGCAACAAACAGTATTGTAAGGGGAATTTTATTCTCTTTCACAATGCGTGTTAACCCTCATTTCAACCTCTGCCCAGTTCTGTCTCATTTTGCCAGAACGCTTCACAACTTAGTAATCCTTTAACTCTCAAACCTTTCTCAACTGATATTTTGACGGCAACAACCACCGATTGTGATTATTACAAACATAATTTATACCTACATGTACATATTTTGTGAGTAGACAATTGTAATTTTCATGAGTCCACATACAGTTTTATGGGCCTGTTAAAATATTTTTCAAATTCCCAACATAAAAAAAGTATTCATTAAATCAAATTTTCTTACCAAAAAGTACATTTGTTTATTTTTCCCTTGCCTGCTGAAAAACACCAAGAAGCTAGTTTAAAGTGTCTGCAAGTTGGAAGCATTGAACAGAATAGAGACCTGATGTGGTTGTGGTGAGGTACGAATGGGTGCGAACATACACAAGAAGTACGAAAACAAAAAAATAAGTAAAATATCAGTTTCACTATCAGTACTACAAGGCAGCTGTGAACGGTTAACTTCTGATCAATCAATCTTGTGAGTTGCTCAAAATTATTAGCCATTTTAATTTATAAAATGTTACCTGATAGTGGAAAAACCTAAAATATATAAAAATATCATTTAAGATTTTTTGGAAGGCATAGTTACTACCAGATTTGGTTTCGAAGAAATCCAGCACACACTCCTTTTGGTAGCAAATGGTTGAACAGAAGCAGCACACATATTTAACAGTGAAACTTCTTGGGACATTTTGTAAGAAACTCTGAATTATTTCAAGGCACGTGGTGCTTCAAATAACCCTCCTAGTCTTCTGCACCCAACCCCTTCAAGTTTGGCAAAACCACCTTTACCCATGGAGTTAGCGCCCACACTTCAAATTCCTTTGCGGTAATCTTCTGTGGATTATGGATAACACTTCAAATCCCTGCACCACTCTTCAGTGAGGTTAAGCTCAGGGCAAGCAGGCAGATTCAGTCACACTTCACCGCTCTCCACTGTGCTGTTTTTTGTGCTGCAACTCTCCGTGTGACACAGTTACTTTAACCCGAACTCCCTAGAGTCTTTTACGAAGAACTGGACCAAGTCCATCAAAATCCATCAATCACTTTGCTTCCAATACAAAAATGTACTTGACAATAATGGAATCCACCACTGACGCACTGGTTGACATTCATGGACTTGCTAAACATGGCTTGTATCACAATAGCAGTACAGGAAGCTAGGCAAAGTCAATCGGATTCCCCTAGCACTGCTTCAGGGCTTCAGGCCCAAGTCCATCATACTCCATCAATATTGAGTCACACCAGGCCTACTGGACCAAGTCCCCTGAAATCCACAAAAATTGGGGGATGGAGTTTGATGGAGTTGGGGTGGTTGGGGTCCACACTTCATATCACTTCACTTGAAAACTATCCTGCAGGGATTTGAAATGTTGAACAATACTGCTCAGTATTTTGACTCCTCAACTGGAAGGGTTAATTGGAACTTGCCAATACTTTCAAGGCACAGGACGGACAGAGATTAGCACAGATGATTCTCGTGGGTTGCGGTGCGGAGTATTTGGTCCAGTTTTAAGGGAAGCCCAGCGTGAGAGTGATGCCAACGGCCGCTCCGATCACAGACAAGAACCAGAGACGAGAGGCCGACACGCGGTAGCTCTGAACGTGATGAACCATGGCGGGCTATTCACACACAAAACACAAGAAACAAGAAACAAAATTTTACTTCAACAATGACAAACACACTCCATCAAAATTTGAAAAAAGTTGTCAACACACCAACAAATTTGACATGGAAATTAAAACAGAAAGTCCAAATTAGAAAGTCCAGTGTGTGCAAAGGTTCAAGGTTGTTTCTTACCCATCCTCCTTGTTTCACGATCCAAGCCGCAAGACGTCTTCGGGTAAATTTCTGCATAGAATCCACCACGATATTAGCATAGTTCACATGACCCTGCTCCACGCATTCCACAACCAGGGCGCCGGCGAACGCGAAGAGCGCCACCACGCGCGCCCAGGTGATGGACCGCCGAAAGAGCTCGGCAGCCACGGCCGTGAAGACCGTCTGCATCTGAGCCCCGGTCTGGAAGTTGACGTGAAGGTAGCTGCAGACGTCCTTGAAGAGGTAGGGGTACATCTTATCAAACTCCTGGGTGATGGTGATGAGTTCGCGGGAGACGTCGCACGCCCCGCAGGCCTTGTCGTGTCCCTTGGGTTGACAGGCCCGGACCACATCGCTAACTTCTAGGCCCGGTGGGTAGATGTCGTGTTTGAGGAGGGAGTTCTCACGGAGCTTCGTGAAGATGTAATCGCGGCAGAGGACGCGTGACTGCTGAACAACCATCTCCTCAGTGTGAGGGGTTTCAAAGATTTTCCCCAGACCCACAAACGTGGCAGCTTTGATGGCCTGCTCATTCAGGAAGGTGGAGACCAACTCAACGGCCTCCGACAGTCGCTCAGACGATGTCTTCCAACGTTCCTTGATCAGAAAGGAGGCGGACATGCTACTGCGACTTATCCTGCGCGTCTTGGAAATTTTCTTACCACCGGTCATGACTGGTGTGACTTCTTTCAAAGTATAACTTCTCCAACGGAAGTTGTAGTCCCAAGTGAATTAACTTTACAGGATAAATGTGGGACAACTCACATCACAGCACACTCGGCAGGCAGATTGGAAGACTGAGAAGAGGTGACCGAAACAGTTTTTATCTGAAAGACAATGTTTGGAAATTAGGCCTATTCATTGTATTTGTAGGGGCATAGTTATAACAAAAGTAAAACTTGGCAACTTTGAACTTGGCAATTATAGGCCTAGGCCTACTGCCCAGTTACAATTATCCAATACAATTTTAGCAACAATTTGTTTCATTTTCAACTGTCTATCACTTTTGAACAAAAGTACAAATGTAGGCCTAAAATACTTTTACAAGTCTCTCTAACGTGTACTGTAACTGATCAGGAATTTAAGTAGGAATTTTAAAATGTTATACCCCAAATATCAGTTGCGACAACTCTGCTAAATATAATAGTTAGTGGCTATACTAGTACTAGTTTTGCCTTGCATTGCCTTGCGACACAGCTGGTATTAACGAGAAGGAAATGCGAAATGGAAATATTTTAATACGTACGTGGATGGATCGGGGAACAATTTAAAAATTAATATTTTTTATCAAAGCACTCACCACACGTGCCAATTACCAACCGAAATCTCCTCAAATGTATGAACTATAAATCTGTTGTTCTAATTTTGACCTTTACTCCTGCAAACAAGATAAAAAGTGACATTTTTGAGCGCGTTATTTGCTTCCGGCCACAATAAGGTTTATCGCAAATAGCGTTCTACCAACAGAGGGCGCCCTGTTGCAAAGCATCATGGGATGCAAAACGGAGCATAACTATTTTGCAGTCCCGGATGTTGAAGCGCGCATCGCGCAACAACTTAACCAACACAAAATGATGGCTGCGATCACACACGAAAACTTTCAGCGATCGTGTAGTGTAGGGCCCGTTTGGTTTCGATAAAATTAGAGTCAAGAGTGTTTTTTTACTACTCAAAATGACCTTGTCAACCTAGAGCAGACTTCTCTCAATATAATGACACTTTTGTGTAATTTTTGAACAGTTTCTCGGAGTAGAAATGATGATTATCCTGCGCGGTTTACAGTGGTGCAGTGCCATTCAGTGCGCCTTGCCATTCACGGTACATCGGGCAGCGGTCGGCATCTTTATTTTCGTGTTGCGTTTTGTCGTTATCATCTTCATTCCCCCCCCCCCCCCAAAAAAAATTCCCAAAAAAATTAAAAACCCTGCCCTTTATCTATGACATACCTGTATGTTCTTAATATCGCAAACTTGTTTGGTACTGGTAGGTCAAATAATTTAAAAGTGGATTTTGTTCCCTTACAGGTCGCGGGCCCGTAGCTACACGATCGCCAAAATTTCTAAGCCAACATGCCTACCTAGTTACATGTGTACATGTATGTAAATAACTGTTGTGTATTTTATAAATTGTTTTTTTATGTTAAACAGGTTTTCTTGTATTCGTCCAAGTAAATTTGTGCCAATATTGGGGCTACCGGTTATTTAAGAAACACAGGTCATATTTGCCAAGTTTTTAAACTTTATCCAACTCTTTTTACGAGAATCTGCTCAAATATTGCCAGCTTTTTAATTAAGAAACATGGCTCATATTCGCCAATTACTTTCACCTATTTATTCCAACTGTTGTTTTGAGACTCGGCTTTTTTTATTTGAGGGACGTAGGCGCATTCCTTGATATTTGACAACTGTTCATACAACTCTTGTTATGACACTCGAGTAGGCTTGCATTTGCCAGTTTTATTTTCAATTTTCCAGGTTTTTTTTACTATTAATTCAACTCTCGTCAAGAGACGCAGGTCATAATTGCATTTTTAAACAATGTTCATGTACTTTTATAAAACATGACTTGATCATTTCAATTTGCATTTTCTACATCCTTATTGTGTGCAACTTTGTTCCAAATTTTATTTACATTATTTTTAATAAAACATGTCTCTTATTTATGAACCTGCAAAACCTTTTACAATTGATATAATTTCTATTATCATTATCATAAGTGAAGACCGTTCATGTACATGTAGGTTAATGCCATTTATAATTTGGTTTATTTTGCATACAAACCTTGAGTAAGAATGAACAAAATAAATAAAAACTTAAGAAAAGGTACAGCAAAGTTTTGATTTTCTCAGATGGCCGGCAGTGGTGTAGTGAGATCCAATGCTCGCCTCTTCACCGGTGCTCTTTTCAGTGTCTCAGGAAGGACGTATCCTCTCAAAAATAAAGATGGGTGAAGTTCATCAGGATATGGCTGGCCGTATTTGAAGTGGTTGCTGCAGACTGTAGTCGATGATTTTACTTTGAAATCCTGCCGTTGGGTCAGTTGAGTCCAGAGAGGGAAGTGTTTCTTATCCCTGCATGAGTGGAATCCGAGTGTGTTTACATGCTCTTTGATGACATCTATCAAGAGAAGGGGAAACGTAAGATAGAGATATTTATTGTTTGATGACGGAGAAAAAATAAACCACATAAGACTTCGTAATTATTTTTATGAGTAAAACAATGGAGTAGGCTAGCTAGCTAGGCCTACTAGCTGACTAGGACAAATATATACATGTGTACATGTATATATTTTTTTTACATTTTCGTGAACAGAATATAATTTATTATAAATAAACAATCATGAAATTGTCTGTAAAAGTCACACATAGTTCGCTGACAGAAGTAACAATTAAACCATTATAAAAGCCACATATTTTTCCGATAAGAAAAGAGTCATAAAAGGGAGCTTTTGAGGGGCACAGAAACTCTAAATGCACTGGCCGACACAGTCATGACGGTGCAGAGTGTCCCGTGTTTCCCCGGTCGCGTGCCGGTCGTCGGCACATCGCGATCGCGTCGGGTCAGAACTTAACTGCACGCTATCCTACTTTTTGTCGTGAGAACATTTTTTTTCTGTACAACAAAACAACTTTAATTTATGTATAACAAAGATCATACCTTTGTGGATAACAACAGTCATTATTGCAACCCAGAACAGCACAATAATCACCTCCCATCGAACACAAAACGTCAGAAAATATCGTACACACCGCACCGTGCAATGCCGTGCATGCCGTGTGTACGTTTTCCCACCGCCGTGTGATGGCGCTGTTGCTCCGATTGCAGCCCCATGATCCTTTGCGGTTTGTATTTGCGATAAACCTTATCTCAGCGCGCTCACAAAGTCCATTACATGCGCCCTCTATGGTCACGAAGTACATAGTTTCAGTATTGCGCCCTCTCGTGTTTATAGTGCCCTTGAATTAACTGATTTTTTTCTGTCGGATTTATTCGCTTCAAAATGATATCCAAGATAAGAAATTAAAGAACAATCAAGCTCAAAAAAATATCTCAGTGAATAATTCCCATCATGTTCTGCATGACATTTTGTCTGTAGGAGTTGCAACCCCCGCCCCCTCCACGTTCCATCCAGCCCCCCCCCCCCCCCCCGTTCAGCCGTAAATGGAGCTCCCAAATTTATTCCCACTTTGCCTTAGAAGGTAGGAGAAAGTATCGTACATTTCAAATTTTCCCGGGGATCCATGCTAGCACATATATAGCACGCCCCCACGCCTTCAATCACGGGCCCGTCCCCTTAATATAAACCCCTCCCCGTTTATTGAAAGCTAGATCCGCCCCTGAGGCGTATGTTAATCAGAAGTGGAATGATTTCAATGGATTTTGAGTTGGAGGAATCTGTGGTGAACCTGAAGGGACAGTATAAACGTCATCATTTACTTTAAGTTTTGATGTCCATTCATGGATACCATAGCAACCTCGACCCATATAAAACCACGTAAAGTCACAAAAGTCGCCATTTGGTGCCCGTAACGCCGAAAAGAGGCACCGGAAACAGCCGGTTGCGAAACTCCATACGAAAGAACTGAGGCCATACACGAAACAGTCGTCGACTGTACGGGTGAGACTTGAAAACACTAAGCACATCTCTCATTGTCTAATCAATAATCGCAAACGAGGCTTGAACTTGCCCACTCCTTGACGACATCCTCATCTTAATTCGTGCCTATCATCACGATCTCTCATTGGGAAACAAAAAGGCACCGCACCGTCACAGACTCGTATAATTGTTTTTACCCCCGCATCGAAGTGACCGTACCGCGTATATACCGCAGACTACGAGAAGTGCGCGCATCACCCATCTCCACCCAATCTCGCCTGGGGTATCTCCGCTTCGATTACGCACATCTCCTCTCCACACTCCGCGGAGGGCCAGGGGAGAATATTTTGTATTCACCTCCTCCACAATCCCAAGTAGCCAGCTAGTGAGAGACAGGCGTTCATTACTGACGGCCCAGCGGATATGAGAGTGTGACATCGACGAGACAGTCAGCTGTGTGATGATCAGTCGCACCCGTACCCGGGCCGCTAACAGAACGACGCACGGGGTCCAGTCGGCACAAGCCCCTCGCTAACAAGACTCAGGGTATAGATCTCTTCTCAAATCTGGTCTTAAGATCTAGGCCTGAGAACGCGGAACTAACTTGGGCCTTAAAAGAGGCAACGTGTGACTATAAAAGACAACACTCTCACTTGACTTTTGTACACAAAAGCTTGTTTCGACTTGACTTTGAAGACTTTGGACTCAGGTTCACTGACGACTTCCCGTTGCTAGCAGAGAAGGTAAGGAAATCGCAAATGAACTTAAATCATCAGTGATGGCTATTTGAATATTCAGTGGTCTGAAAATAATTAAAACTGCTGAAAACTGCTTTCTGACTGGATGGACCTGAAATATACAAATCTCAAAAATTTAAGCGATCTGAAGTGACGTTTGGATCTTAACAGGATCTGCTTCAGAGACAAAAATGGCTCCGAGGAAGATCTTGTTAAGAACCAAACGTCAGGCCGCTCAATTTTTTTTAATTTTTTTTTTTTCAGTGGTAAGTTAGGACTTTTTTCCCCTGAAGGTTTTATTCAGTCAGTTCAGTTTTCATTCATATTATCGGCTTAAATGGTTTTTATAAGGGCGAACTTTTCAGAACAACTTTCAACCCTTCCTTTTGGAACAAAGTATTTTCAAATAGTTTTGCTTTTTAGAGCAAGGGCAATAATATGCTATGGTTACTTTGAAATGCAGGCCAGGTAATTATTGTATTACAACTAAATCGTTGGGGAGTTTTTGTTCGATTTCTTTCCAAAACAATTTAATATATATTCTTTTGCTATACAGGGTGAGTCAAAAAGAAAGTGACCTGGACTAATGATTTTATTTCTTAAAAAGCAATCGAATTTGATAAACCAATGAAGTCATGGGCGTCGCGGGGGGGGGGGGGGCAATTGATCCATGCTATCAAAAGTTATGCATGTTTTACTTTAAAAAAAAAACTACCTTTTTATAGCTTTCCACGGAATGCCATTGGAAGCTATTGAGCTGAGTGAGAATTACAGATTACACACAGGCATTCAAAGCAAATGAGATTTTAATCATTTGAGTCAACACTGAAACATTATTTTACTTTCAGATTTTGTGTTTTGAATATGAGGAAAAAGTCAACTATTTTTTGCCCCTAAAATATTGATGGCGATGTTTGTCTGTTTCCGTAAGTGCGGTTTACGGGCTCGAATCATATGCCATTTATTAAGCTTTCAGTATAAGGTCAAAGGTTAGTTTAAGTTACACAAATCATTTAGTGGACAAGTAACACCTGATTGGTTGATACGATCACGAGTTTGAGTACCGAATAATATATTAGGTAACAGTGCGAAAACTCTATTT